CTATGAATTCTCTTACATGAGCTTTGCAGATGGAGCAAACAAGAGTTAAGAGCTCTGTGTATGCCTCTGCGGTACGGAATGGAAATAAACCAGTCTGAGTCGTAACATGCGTTCTCTATCTGGACAGGTTACAAGCCGTGTGACCCGCAGGTGATCAGGGACCGTGTGGCTCACATGGAGTTTTGTTACCAAGAGCTGTGCCAGCTCGCAGCCGAGCGCCGGGCCCGCTTGGAGGAGTCTCGGCGCCTCTGGAAGTTCTTCTGGGAAATGGCTGAAGAGGAGGGTTGGATCCGGGAGAAGGAGCAGATCCTGTCATCCGATGACTATGGGAAGGACCTAACCAGTGTTGTGCGTCTTTTGAGTAAACATAAGGCGTTTGAAGATGAAATGAGTGGTCGCAGTGGCCACTTTCAGCAGGCGATAAAAGAAGGTGAAGACATGATTGCGGAGGAGCATTTTGGGTCAGAGAAAATCAGAGAGAGAATTAAAGATATCCGGGAGCAGTGGGCTAACTTGGAACAGTTATCTGCTATTAGGAAGAAGCGTCTGGAGGAAGCCTCTCTCCTTCACCAGTTCCAAGCTGATGCTGATGACATTGACGCGTGGATGTTGGACATCCTCAAGATCGTCTCCAGCAATGATGTGGGCCATGATGAATATTCCACTCAGTCCTTGGTCAAGAAACACAAAGACGTGGCTGAAGAGATAGCAAGCTACAGGCCGACCATTGACTCACTGCATGAACAGGCAAAGGCTCTACCACAGGAACATGCCGGATCTCCTGAAGTGCAAGGCAGATTGTCTGGAATAGAGGAAAGGTACAAAGAGGTTGCTGAACTGACCCGTCTGCGTAAGCAGGCCTTGCAGGATACCCTTGCTCTTTATAAGATGTTCAGTGAGGCAGATGCTTGTGAGCTTTGGATTGATGAGAAGGAGAAGTGGCTGAACAACATGCAGATTCCAGAGAAGCTGGAGGACCTGGAAGTGATCCAGCACAGGTGAGAATGGCTTTACCAGGAAGTTCTGGGAATACTGGGGAAAGTTTTTTCACAAGCTGCCTTTTTCAGCTTTCCCACGACTTAGATTCTTCAATGCCTTGTGATCTTTATTTTTTTTTTCCTAGATTTGAAAGCCTAGAACCAGAAATGAACAATCAGGCATCACGTGTTGCAGTCGTGAACCAAATTGCCAGGCAGCTAATGCACAGTGGCCATCCAAGTGAGAAGGAGATCAAAGCACAGCAAGATAAACTCAACACAAGGTAAGTGAATGCCTCATGCTCATGAAGAACATGACACTGAGTGAAACAGGTAGATCAGGGCCATTTTTGTTTCTTGTATATGTCTTTTTTTAGTATTCTGATACTGTTACCTGAAATATCTTCAAGGTAAGCCTTTCACTGTAAGACTTTCCCTTTGTTATGTCTCTCAAATGTTTGATGTCAAGGGCTAGAATTTGGCCCTTGACTTCAATCATTCTTTGAGAGATGGAAATTTACTGTATTGACTGTTGCAGTAAAAAGAAAATTGCTACAACGTTTCGTGTGAACTCGCTCATTTCTTGGCTTCAAAATGAACTCAAGTGAATGCTTTTAGATATGACTGCCATTCTTCACTTGAGGAAAAATTATATTTGCAAGGACCTCGTCTTGCTGGTAACTGGCATCTTCTAATACATGCCATAGTTTGGGTAATAGGTATTTTGATAAAACTATTGATGATATGGAAAGGATAAAAAAAAA